TTGCAGGAGGGAGCAATGATAGGACTCCTAATAAGGATGGGCCTGTTAATCAACATGAAACAATTAAAGAGGGAGCAAGGCCCAAAATATGGAATGTTTACGTGAGAAGAAAGAAAAGGGGATTAGGAAAAGAAAGGGAAGTTAGTTAGAGAGGGGAATGACGTGTCAGGAATCCAGGGAAGGGGAATTCTGTTATAGGAGAGAGAATAGAGAGTGTGAAGGGATACGAAGTGGGAGGTGGTGAGTTGGTTAGGAGGAGAGTCATCCTCTGGTTAGGAGTGAGAGCACTCTGGGTTTTACTGGTGATTGTAGAGCTTTCAGCTCCATAACTTTTCTTCTGCATAATACTTGAATAATATACCTGTGATATTCAGTTTAATTGTTGGGTTTCTATCATAAACCATCAGGCCAATTGGAAATTGGCTCCGAAGTTGAATATTTCTTGTTGCTGCAACCAAATCTGAATGTAGAACTAAAGTCTAAAATTGAAGAGAATGTAATTGATAGTGGCAAGAATCTCTATGATTCAGAAAAATCAAATATTCTGATATTACTTTTTGCTGACAATTATCCTTTTTCTCCTTCTGGGTTGTGTAATTGATAACGGGTATGCACATTCTTTTTCTTCTTAATTAATGTTTTTGATGTCATTGACAAGTGAATTTGTAAAAAAATTACTATAATTTTCTAAACAGTCTGATGTTTGCTGCACAGAGGCTAGTTCAAATAACTCTGCAGCATCCGTTATATCCATTGGACTATTCATCTCCATCAATTGATGAGGTTTGTTGACGTCACCTGTAGGCTGTACCTGAATTTGAAGGTGTCAATATTTATTCTGATATATCGTATATTATGCTTTTGATGTGGATTTGAAGGGTTGGATAATTATAAATGTTAAAAACAAGCCCAAGGTGATGAAGTCTACTACAATGCTCGCTGTTGATTGTGAAATGGTTCTTTGTGAAGATGGGACAGACGAGGTAGTTAAAGTTTGTGTAGTAGACCATAATTTAGAGGTAATTTATGCACACTCCTCCTTTTGTATAGCCTCCCAAAAAAGGGTTTCAAATAATTGTTTTTAAAATCATTCTCCTTTTTGGGATTATGGATAGATAATTTTCAGAACTTTTCAGGTCAAGCTGAATGAATTCGTAAAACCCAACAAAAAAATTGTGGACTACAGAACAGAGATCACTGGTATCTCTTCTCAAGATCTAGAGGCAGTGACTTGCTCCTTGGCTGATATACAGGTATTTTGTGTTTTTCTTTGTTTTTTATTTTGTATAGTCCTTTCATGTGTATAATGAAGATATGTCTTGTGCTTCCATAGAAATCCATGAAGAAGTTGTTATCAAAAGGAGCCATATTAGTGGGACACAGTTTGCATAATGATCTACGTGGTAAGTTTGATAAACGTTTTAGTTTACTTTGGTCTGTTTTTAAACCTACTGCTAGATTTTGAGTATATTGAGGGACTAGCTCCGTTGAATTAATTTTTGTGCTTCTAATTTATATACTAATGCAAGTTGTCTGCAGTGCTGAAGCTTGATCATGTCAGAGTGATTGACACTTCCTATATCTTCCAATCCACGGATGGGCCTATGCACAGAAGACCTTCTTTGAATGGTTTATGTCAGGTACTAAAGTGGCAAATATTTTATATGCAAAAATTAAGGTTCTCCATTATGAGAAAGGGTCACATAGCCATTCTTTCGGAGGAATCATGTTGTTTTGGATGCAAAGCCTCTCTTGTGCACTTGTGCTAGTTTATGTCTTGAAATTTAAGATCTTTCATCATCCAGGCTTGCCCAAGAAAATTATAGCAACATGGAAGAATAAACACAGAAATGGAAAAAATATTGATTTTTGATTTGTAGTTTATCACCAATTGTTGTTACAGGCTGTTTTGGGTCGTGCTGTTCGGGAAAAAGGTGCTCCACATAATTGTCTAGATGATGCATGTACAGCTATGAACCTCGTTCTTGCAAAGATCAAACATGGTGTTGATAGGGAATTTCCAATTTCACTGGCTCAAGAGCGTGTAAGCTGACATATTCATCTCCAGCATTACCTTGTCTTTGTAATCATGTTGGTTGGCGGTTAAAGGTGAATACTATCACTGTTATATTGTTTTAGGTTCCAGAAAGTGAGACCACAAAGCTTTTTCTTCACCGGATACCAAACACTGTAAACACTGAAGCACTGCATACCATTGTTCCTGGAGAATTCAGAACGGAACTGCAGGTAGTGTCCCATGGCTATCTCAATGTTTTAGTGAAGAGGTTCATCTTTAATTATTTAAATAGTGTAAATATCTTCAATTTGAAAACATTTAGTTTTGTCTCACGGTAATCTTGTTGGCAGTCTTTTAGTGGGTTACATTTTGTTTTTGAGATCTGATGCATCTGCTGCAGTCTACCAGGAAAGTTCAAGGAAGACATTATTCTGCCTTAGCTGTTTTTAAAAATACACAAGAGGCTGATGGCGCATATGAAAAAGTCCAAGGAATCCAATTAAAGGTACATATATGATATATAACGGTGTGCAATCTGTTACTTGATATCACTAAATTGCTTGTTGTTTAGCTGAGCCAATGAAATACATAAATTTGGATTCCAGTCTCCACTATAATACCTGAATCCATTTGTTCTAATGGACATATGTTTGATTCTTCTAAAATTGGACGAACTTTCAATAAAGTTGCAAATACACTCTCAAGAATACTAGAGTTGAGACAAATTTTAGATATCATTGTTCTTCACTTTGATGTTTTTGTAAGGTGCAAGAAATCTATCCTACTGATCAAGAGCTCAATCAGCACTCAGTAAGTGGCTTCCGAAATTGAAGGTAAGCCTATCAAGAGAGCATGTTTTGGTTTAGTGGAAAAATCTCTTTCTTGGAGCTTGAGGATAGCTTCTTGCAGGATTATCCTGATTTACACCTTGTGGACAAAGTATTTGTCCATCCATCAAAAAGGGGATGATATGGTCCATGATGAAGAGACCAAGAAAGTATAGATTCAATCCATGAAATAGAGGTAAAGTGCCATAAAATGCATGCTTAAGAAAAATGCAGTAGAAAGAATTAAAAGCTCATTGGGATGGTGGGATCATATTACTTACGAGGATAGAGATAGGGCACAATGGATAGCCCACACAACACTACTTATGTTAGTTTGTCCTTTTATTTGTTGTTGGTTAGGCACACTGGGGAGAAGTATGCATGAAAAATTTTCTCTCTGCTCCAAAATTCTTATCGTTGGCTGTTCTAGTTTGTCTTCCTTCCACCTGTTCTGTTTGCTTCATCATGTTGTTAATCATAACCAAGCACATTAATTAATCTTTTGGTGCTTTGAGTTTTACAACCACAAATGAAAATGAAGGGTGCCCAAGCCTTCACTGAAACCATAGGTGTTCAAATTCTAACTCAAATGAAAAACTCTGAAAAAAGAACACTTCGAACTACTGAAAAAAATTCAAAGAGGTTAATTTCTAAGAAAATTGAGATGTTCAGGGTAGTTTTAACTATTAAATGGAAGTTTTAATTCGCCTAATAGTCTTATTTTATTTAATTTTCCTATTGATGAGTTTATTTCCAGAATTTATACTCACAAAAAATTGCCTTGGTTAAAAATTTAAAATATATATATGCAGTATAAAAAGATAACTCATATAATTGCATTGCAAGAAATACAAAATAAAACTAGTTATTTGATGATTAATTCAGGAACCAGAGGCATTTGCCCAACTACATAGAGATACAAACACAGGAAAGGGAATCGAGTAAAGAAAGAGCCCTCCGAAGCTCCAATTATATTTTCCTTATTTGGATCCTTTACTAGGGTGTAAAAATATCCAATACGCCTAATGTCCAAACATTTGCTAAAATGAGAATTGGGCATCCGTGGTCCACATAAGACTTAGAGTAACTTTCTTCAACTTCCCATCACATCCTCATATTGCTCTAGCTGTCCAAATATATACAGCAAATAATATCAAGCCACATGTTGATCTGTTGCCTAATTTAAGCAAATAAAGTTCAATTAACCTGAAAAGTTCAGTCCTCTGAAAGGCTTGGGCTTTCAGGTGATGCTCTCTTTCCATCATAACGCTACAAGTTAAAGAAAAACAAAAGCCTTTATGATTAGAACCGAAACTGTATTCATGTAAAACACAAAATAATGGACAAAGCCATAAAACGGTTATGACGATATTTTGCCTAATGAAAATGTTAATTTACCTGTTTTCCAGATGAGAAGGGTAGATATTTGTACTTAATCATGTGAGATATCTGTCTCCTCATTGTAAGCGTGAATAGGACCACCCAGTAGAAGAGGAGTATTGGCCAGAACACAGGAACATCAAACGCACTAAAGAAAGTCATCACAAATGCAACGCAAAATGCCTTTGTGATTGAGTACCTGTTTACATTCAGCAGAAACAACATCTTCATGTCAAAATACTGAAGGTAAAAGCATGAAGATACACATCAAAGAACGAAGAACATCTGTAAATTAGCACAACACCCAACGAGAAACCCACAAATGTCACATAAAATGCAATGCAACGTCTGCATTTCCAAACAATTCATTATTTGTGTGAACAACATCCAGATTTTTATCAGAACTGACAGGTCAATCTATTTGCTCGTTTCGCATGTCTGTGTCTTTAAATCGGTTCAAAAAACTTTTGTCCACAACCTCAAGCTTTTGGAGGTGCTCTCCACACAATGTCACCTTAATTGCACCCACATCAGTAGGATTTCTCTACAATATTCCGTGATATCAAGAACAAGAACAAAACGAAAGTGTGACTGCAATACCAATTCAACACCTTGACATACAACATATAATAACAATCTCATCCGGATAACCCAATTTCTCTGTTCGAGCTTTCAGCTGACACTGACAAAGTCTACAGTAGGGATGAGATGGTGGTGCTGCGTTTCCCCTAACCAGTCAGTATTCTATTAACTCCTCGACTTCGAGTGTCAAATTTCTAGATGTGACCACTACTCACAGCCCTGTACGAAGGGGGTATAATAAAATAATGTCTTATATCCTAAAAAAAGAACACAATTTCATTTTCCACAATAATTACAGATTTCCATCCAGCTTCATTCTTGCATTCTTTTTTGTCTTTATTTTTTTCTCTTCTAATTTTTAATTCTTTATCAATAAAATTTTGCAATTTTTGATTTACCATTCTTGAGAATGTAATTCCAGAAATTACTAAAATTACAACATGAAACAAATGCAGCCGAGATTGTAAATTGCGATTGTAACTAGACTTGCAATTTCATCAGAATCCTTCATTCTGCAAAACAAAAAGTAGACTAATGCTGCTAAGTGCAAAGAACCCAGAACTTGTGACATTTCGGCTATTATTGCGGTTGCCAACTGTTTTTTTTTTTCTTAAAAAAAAGAAACTCGCAGCACACACAACCCTGTAAATAACACAAGACTGTAACTGGCAAACAGAACCCCAACAGAACACGATACAAACTTTCTTGTGCCGTGAAATTTAGGTTCTGTGGTAACTATGATCGATCAAAACAAGGTGAAGTGAAATTAATTGATTAATGATGATCGTGAATTGAATTAACACTAGTTGGGAAGCATATAACGTACCAGAACTTGAACTCCGGGAGGCGGCGAACGAATGGACGAAACTCGTCGTTAACGGAGGAGGGGAGAGTGGGGCCCTCTGCGTCAAGAATCTCGGGGTCCACCTGAGGGGAGAGGAACCCGATCAGAAGGTTGAGGATGTATATTCCCAAACCGTACGACACTAAGTAGAACCCTTCCACCAAGTACACACGCAGCGCGTATATCAACGCCACCACCAACAACCCCACCCACCGCCGCCCCACGTGTGGCGTCCATTTGTCTAGCACGTGCTGGTACTGCCGCCACACCGCCAACTCCCACCGTGATATGGCGGCTCTAAGAGATGCTCCGACCGAGTCCATCGCTGATGGACCCGCTTCGCTTTCGGCTTGAGAGGTTCATTTCAACGATCTGTCGCTTAAAGGAACCCTCTTCTCATGGTCCTCTTCAGTCCCAATCTTCTATAGATGATTTTTTTTTTCAATTTAAAATCATCTTATAGACCAAAAAAAAACTATTTGTTTTCAGGGACTCAGCTGGCCTATTAATAGGCTGCAAATTTTCCCTTTTCAACAGATTATATTGGTATATTTAAAACTCGAATTCAAAATTATTGATTATCATATTTACAAAACCATTTAGTTTATTCACATATTTCATGCTGTTTTATTGTAGTTTTAGTCCATATGCAAGCTATTTAAATAAAATTAAGAAATATAACATATTAAATATAGTTATATTTTTATTTTCTTAATTTTTATTTTAATGTTTTACTTATGGTTTGTTTACGAATTTATGTCACGTCATAGTTTTATTAGACTTTCATTCTTATTAGACAAAATTTACTAAGCATAACTAGAAATAGATAACTAAATTCTTTAAATATAAAAAAGATTCAGTTTTTAATTATGTTGTGGAAAAAATATTTCTTTTAGTATTCTCTGCGTTTTATAGTAATTTTTAGTAAAAAAAATTAATGAAAATTAGCTTTAGTTTTAAGAATAAAAAATTATAAAAATAAATTTCAAAAATTGAAATCAAAATTAAAAGATAAAATCAGAGAGACTAAAGAAATTATTAAACCTATAATCATTTTAAGTCTGGACTAACTTTCATACAACATAAAATTTTACGATGACCTTACAAGGTGTAAATAAACTGAGTAGAGAGTGATAATATAATAAAAAGTAACCTATTAATTTAGTATTTAAAATGATACTATATTTCCTGTGTAACTGTTTTATTAAAAAAGTATAAATAGTCCCTAATGTTACAATACACCCATCTCATTATTCCTTCTGACTATTTAGATGGTTTCAAAGTTGACTAAATTTCATATTCACATATCCATGCGATAAGGTCAATGTACTTTTTAATCTAAATTTTATCTTAATTTTAAATTTTCATAAATTCCTGTATGGAATTATATATATATATATATATATATATATATATTAAATTCAATAACAATTCTCTTGTTTATTTATTCCAAATTTTCGACGATTTCATTCAAGTTTTATGTTGTCAACGAACTAAATTATTTTTATTTGAGCTTCGTATAGCATTAGAAGGTCTGATGCTTTTGATAATTTGTTTTATAAATTTCATTATAAGCTTACTTAAAGACTAAAAGAACAAATAAATAGTAAAATGAAAAGGAGTTTGGAGAAGGTTGTGTTGTTTTATTTTTAATATTTTTAACTCTAATGACATCCGCTTCAACCCCATAGTCATGTTCTAAGAATAACAATAGCCTCCCTCTTCAATATGCATGTTTTGTTTTATACTCACTGATATAATTACTGTAATAAGTCGTTTGTAATAAAGGATTTTTGCTACAGTAGAAAAAGAAAACAAAATTATTACAGCATTTTGAAGAATTAATTTACGAGAGAACAGTGAAATAGATGTCTCTAAATATTTAAAATAACGCTAACAATATATAAATTATACAGCTAAAAGTGGCCCCAATAAAAATGAGTACAAACTTGACAATATTTGATGAGCTATCTTGTCAATAGAACATATATAATTGAAGTAAAACGTCAGTTGTGGACAAAAACATTCATCTGGTACACTCGTTCATCCTTCGAGGGAAATATTTAAATCCAAATTTGGACTCGAAGGGAATTTCTGGAACCTCCGAGTAATTAACATGACAACTAAATATGAATGTCTCAAAACTGGACGGTTCACAGAACCGATTTTTAAGAAAATTACCATAAGATGTCCTGGCTAAGGAGCATACCTTCAATTTCATTTCACCAAACAATCCAATATTCTCATCTCCTGGCTACACTTTTTATTTTCTTCTCTTATTTAAAGAGGCCACCATTTTATGCAGGGTGGTTATTTCAAAATCTTTCTGTGTCAGCTCTTTCTTCAATGATTCGATCTCCAATTCACTTTGCTTTAATCGTTGATTCAGTGCTTCAATCTCGTTTAAATGGGCATCACAGCTTGGGGCATCCTCTTCAGTGCTTTTATCTATCTTTGCTTTCTTGGAAACATCAACTGCCTCATCCGTTTGTAAAGCCCTCTTATTAGAGCCATTCTGGACAGTGGGTTCATCACTTACCATTTTCCGAACATATAGTGTGACAGGCATGCCTTTACTTGTCATAAATGTTACAAGTTTTTGTGGACGACCTTGATTATCCTAAGATAAAATAATATACATAATATGAGATAGATCAGCAATCCCAGAGTAAATAAATGTCCTTCAGTGATATACGACTGCAATATTAGTTTATCAACAGAAGACGCCTCCTTTTATTGAACAAGCATGAAAGAAAAGTTATCG